TCTGCAGGAACTCTCATTTACCTCAGACTGGTTATTTCTCTCTACAGTATATGCTAAGTGCAGGGCTAGCCCCCTTCGAAACTCGTGTTAGATGTTAGAACTGATAATTAAGATACGGTTTAAGAAAAGCATAATCCTATGTTCCTCTCCACTCAGGGGGAAAAACACATTTAATTGTTTCAAAGATTATTACTTTTTTAGTGAGTTTATAGTAAATGGGGGGAGATTACTAAAGGGCTATTTTTTCTCAGCTTGTGGTTTCTAATTACATCAGTTACAGCTCAGCCTTCCTCTTAACTAGAGTGCAGGCATGAACTGGAAAAGAATGAGCTAATCCAGGATAGATCAGGTGGAATAAAGATCTCCATTCATATCTTTACCTTTTATCCCTTGTTCTGAGTGCCAGGAATTAATGCTGTTTGAAAGTACAACTGAACCTGCCAAGCTTGGGACAGCTGAGATAATCCTAATTATTTTCAATGTTAGTGAGAAGGGCAGCAGTCCCACTCTGGAAAAGAGTTCTATTGTAAAACATTAAATATCTGCTAAGTGGTATTGATTGAACATGATTTTATTTCCAAACACTATGCTTATCATGAGGCGGAAGAATTTGTTGTTTAAGACATTTTCGTGAGCTTTTCATGAGACTTTCAGTTACTACGCCTGCAAACTCCAGGAAACCGAAGAGGCCAGCACTTTTGTCTTCCTTGGCCGGCGGCATCTAATGAAGAGTTGCTAACCATTGAAGAACGCCACTTGCATTTTTATTTTTAAATGGTTCCTTAGTGGGAGTTTAATAGTATTTAACATATAGAGGAAGAAAAAAATTTTTTTCAAGCATGAATATCCTATTTTCTCACATCACTAGGAGAGAATTATTCGTTCCAGTCCATTGACTTCCAACAGATCACTCAAGTTAAAAGTCAGGGGTCTTTGCAATGTCAAAAGATTCAGCACTTAGAGTGGTTTTTGTTTTGTTTTTTAGAGGGATTTTTCTTTTCGGCAGAATCTAGTATTTTTCAAAAAGAATACTGATGCTTAGATGGCATCAACAAAATCATCTTCAAGTGGGTTTTTTTTTTTATATGAATTGGGTAAGAATGATTATGTGTAAGGTTTTTGTTTGTTTTTAAAAATAATGAAAGAAAGTCCCTATAGCTGCTGTAGACAAATAGGCTTCTTGAGAGAAAACAGATACTAGACTTGCTGGTTCAAATAAGGGTCAGCCTTAGAGGTTTACCCACCTTTCATGTAACATTCAAAAAGATCAGATGGGTAAGTTTTCCTCTTTTTTTCTTTTCCTTACTTTTCAGTCTCTACTCAGGTCTCCAGAAGTTATTTCTTCCATTTCTATAAATGCTGGAAGGCTATCAGTGATTATAGGGTAGCACAATCCTAATTGTTTATTGCCTGTGAATGCTTCCTGCCTCCCTGACCCCCCTTTTCCAAGCAGCTCACTGTGCATCCTCATGCAAATAGTGTGTTGAGCATCTCAGGGCCAATTATTCTTTCTTTGGGGTTATTCCCTAGAGTGGAATTACCAGGTCAGAGGGCCTGAACAGTTTTATGGTTCTTATTACATGTCACGAGATTGCTGTCCAGAAAGATGGAACCAATTTCTAGTGCTACTAATACTATCTGTCCCCCTCCAGCGCCAGTGCCATGACACTAGGAGTTAGCGTTTTTTACAGAATGATTAAGGGAAACCTTTTGAGTTGAAATTAGCCTCCTGCACAGTACTTTAGAAACAACTTAAAAAGCAAGATGGATAATTTTGATTTTTAAATTTTTAATGGTATAAAATAATTTATAACCATCAATTATCACTCTTCTCTTCCTGAAAATTTTAGAAGGCTGAATTACATGGAGAAGGTAGCTTGAGGAGATTATTTAAGGATGGTAGTAAAATAGATTTTGGACATTAGTCACTAAGGAAAAAACACCAAATCTTTTTATGATGTACTTGGAACTTTTATGAGGTGCTATACAAAATGAGTTAAACAGATACTGCCCCTAACTTCAACAGCCTATTATTCAAAGATGAGGCTAAGCCTTGAACAAATGTAAAAATAACAGATTTCTATTTTGAGTGGCGAAATACTTTAAAAAATACAGGTGTTTTTCAAAACAGGTTGAGTTCATTTGTTTACATCTTCCTCTGGAGTGCAGTCATGTGTTAAGTATGCTCCCAGCCTCCCTAGTGGATACAGGTAACATATTCTGCGTGTCTTTGTAGTCCCTAGTCAGAAGAATACTTTCCACTCTTGCCATTTTCAGTTTAGTCCCATGTTGACTAAATGAGGAGAGGGCATCTCCAAGGTGAGCTGCCGACTGCAGGCAGGGGGCAGGGCTCAGAATATGTCAGGAGAACACTTACCCTATTCCTTTCTAGCCTCTGCATCCGTCTGATAAAGGTCAGTTATTTTTGCCTCACACAAGGATTGGGAAGGTTAGGTGCAGTGGGCAGTTTCTAAATATGGTGCCCAAGGGTGGGTTGGTGCGAAGGCCAGAGTACGCCAGAGAGGCCAGCCAGAGCTGTGCTGTGCCATGATAACTTCCTATGTAAAATGGGGACACAGGGGCAGTGCCTGTGGCTCAAAGGAGTAGGGCGCTGGCCCCATATGCCAGAGGTGGTGGGTTCAAACCCAGCTCTGGGCCAAAAACCGCAAAAAAAAATGGGGACACTTGATTCTCTCAGAGGGTAGTTTGAGAGTAAAGTCCCTCATTAAAGTGTGTGGCATATAGGTAGGACTCAGTAAATGTTTACTCTTCCCCACAGCCTCTGCACACAGAAATTTGGGTTACTGGTTTGGGGTTGGAGTTTGGATGAAAAGCTGGGGGTGAGCAGACTCTGCAGGAAGCTCTTACTTAGATCTCTAGATCTGTGTAGTAACAAGATCTCACACAAAATCTACTGCGTTTGGAAAACATTTTTCTTTACATACATACTTATATAACAATCAGGTGTGTATACAAATAAGTCATAAATTACCTTGATTTTCAGAGAATTTTAAAACCATGTAACATTATACATTTAGTAAGAAGAGTTTGTGAACTTTAATAAGTGTTTCAGATTTCCTAGATTCCCAGTTTTTTATGGTTGCTGTATTTATACAAGTGCATGCACATGGTTTTGAGGGCATCTATAAAATAATATTAAATGATCCCCTTTAAATTAAAACAAATTTATACCTCCCCTTTTAAAGTGTACAGACTCATCTCTTGCTTTTTAATTTAAATTACTAAAGACTGAACAGATGCCATCAATAGAAATAATAATTGCTTGGCAGGAAATTGCCTAAATTGCTTTTCAAATTTATTCACTAAGTTTTCAGATCATTCCTTTCCTTATTGGATGTTGAGGTAGCTATACAAAAGCATCCATCTGTCTGTCTATCCATACGTCATATTGGAGGAAGGTGGCTTTCTGAAATAATCTGGTCCAGTGGAGTGGTTAAAGGTCTGCTGCTTAAATCCCAGCTCTGTTCTTTCATTTCTGTGTGGTTCCACTAGCTGCAGCAAACCTTTTCCAAACCAATAACAAGTGTTAATAGTGTTCTCTTGTAAAAAGGTCTCTTTTCAGCATGGTAATATACCTTATTAAATTCCAAACATAATAAGTATTGATGGCAAACACATCAGGACCCAGTACAGCTTCTACTATGATTTAGTTCTCTACAAATGACTTCAGCACTCAGCTCCCAATGCATTTTGCTAATTACATCATAGATTTCCCTATTGATGAACACAAGCTGAATTAACACAGGAGCACTAATGTACCCTTTCACCATTATTGTTGTACAAGAAGCCGTGGCAGATGCTGGCAGTTAGTTACACAAACATTAGTATTAACGATTGGCCATTTGGAATTGGTGACAAACTACTGCCCGGCAGAATCCTGAGGCTGAAACCAATCAGGAAGTTAATGAGGAGAGAAATTACCACTGCAGCTTCCCCTTAATTACATTCACACTAGGCAGGAAGGGAGTTCTGGGGGTGGATCTAAACTTGGCTAAGGTTAAGAAGGTCAGAGACCCTTTTACTTAAATTTTGTATCTATTGTGGCTTGTAAGGTTGCAAAAATTGTTAAACGCATTACTTTTGCATCCTTACTGTATAATGTAGGTTTTTCCAGTGAAGTTTTATGTTCATAGATTTTGCTTTCAAAATCTTTACCTGTCTTCTATTTTAGTGTGATATAATTCCATTTTACTTTTGTGTATATTTTTTTAAAAAAATAAACTGTTTACTGTTTTTTACTTTTTAAAAGTTATGTATGCTGACAACTTACTCTGGTGTCTGTCACATCATAGAAAAATAATAGGGAAGTTGATACCCTTTCCAACTTTACCTGCTTCATCTTGGGAAAACAATGTAAAACTAAAGTTACCTGTCAACGGTGGCGATAGGTGGGTGGAGTCTCACTTGAGGTAATTTGCTGGAGCGATCACTTGACCAAGAGAAGTTACATTAGCATATTAACACCCATTACAATTTACATAAAGGGGAGGGACTCAGTGAAGGCTGGAAATACTTTTCTCAAAGAGGGTGGAGCAAACTTTGTTTTTTGCTTTTTTTTTTTTTCTGAGATATCTCAAGCTGTAGCCCTGGGTAGAGTGCTGTGACGTCATTGCTCACAGCAACCTCCAACTTTGGGCTTACGCGATTCTCTTACCTCGCCTCCCAAGTAGCTGAGACTACAGGCGCCCGCCACAACGCCGGGCTTTTTTATTTTAATTTTTAAAATTTTTTATAATGAACATTGGCTGGAGCTCTGCTGCCTGGCTTTCCCCTTCGGTTGTATGTATATTGTGCAGAATACTTTTTTTTATTTTAAAGAAGCTCTAGGGGCTTTAATGAGTGTCTGTAAAAACACTTTCAATTCAGAATAGAAATGGAGGGTGCCACTTTCTTTGTTGGAATCTAATTGATACAGAAGGTAGATAGACTAGCCACTTTTAACGTTCTCTTCTCCTTTTCTCTCTCCCCCCACTTCCCAGTATTCTCGCCTCCCAGCAGTCAAGATTCTGGCTTGGTTTCCCTCTCCAGCAGCTCTCCCATTAGTAACGAGAGCACAAAGGGAGTGCTTGAATGTGAGTCTGCGTCGGAGCCCAGCAGCTTCGCGGTCAATCCCGTCATCGAGGAGGACGAGTGA